TTATAAAGAGAAATTATTAATAACCCCAAATCAACCCTTGAAATTCTCATTTTCATGGCATGAACATTCTCCATGTCACCAACATGAATTTTTTATTACCCCCTCTCCCTTACCTGCCCTATTCAGAAACTGCCTATAGTCCACCTTTCTTCTCACACGTCACCATATTCGCCTTCATGAGCACAGCTTCCACTGATGGCACTGCACTCAGCTCAGACATTCCAAGACACTAGAATCACTTCTCCGTGGCCTGATGTGTGATCACAAGCCAACTGTTCAGTGTTGTTTTTGACTACTCTCCAATGTGAATTCTATTTTGAAGATATTATAGATCACTTTCTTGTCTTCTTCTTCAATACAATCTTTATTCAAGCTTTTTAATAAACTTACCTCTATCTTTACCTGTAAAAATGTTACCTTCATATTAAAGTAAAGCCCAAATTTCACCATGAATTCACCCTTAATGTCATCAGCTGTACATCATTACACTTTTCCTCAAAGGAGAAAACCGAGTCACAAAAAAGGACTTTTCAAACAGGTGCATGCCAAATCCACCCTCCTTCAAAATTCTCATATATTTGTAAAATCCTCACAGACAACTGTAGTCAAAGCTGCTCCCAATACATTTCACCTCAAAATAATAATGCAGATCTATGTAGCAGTCCTTATCAGGACTTTCTAATACAGTTATTTTGGGTAAACAAAGAGTTCATTTGCTAACAATAATAACCCCCAAAAGAAAAGGTTCCTTTGCTTGCAGGAAGATTAAGCCTAGAAAAAAGATATATCAGCCTGTAGTCTTATTGTTGTAGGTTGTCTAGAGTGGTTAAGGTGTTTCATAAATTTTGCCCTAAGTGAAGAGTCTCTTCAACCTTCAACTTTCTAATTAGTTATTAAAGTTAAATATCAACTCTTATTCCACTGCAGTTCCTAGCAACTTCTAGAAAGTTTATAATTTAATCCAATTAAGTGGAATAATTATAATAATTCTGTTTATTTTCTTTCATAGAAAATATACAATGTTACTGAAATCCTTTATGTAAAATAAATTAACATAGGAAAGGAAAATGATTCTCTCATGAGAAACAGCTTACATACTTGTTAATTTATTTGTAAAAAAATAATTCATTCTAGTCAAGGGAAAAGATTATGTATAAAAAAAAGGTTTAGTCAGTTTATGAAAAGGTTCTCCTCCCAGTAAAGGAAGATTTCAGTTATAACATAAAAAAATTTATATTTTAACACTACATTAACTTTATTTCATAAAGTCTGCCCATTGCTAACCACAAGTTTACACAGTGGTAAGAACTCACTTCTCAAATTCTAGGATTTCCCCAAAGTAATGGGGTATTAGAAATACTTGAATACCATGATACAGTGTATATCTAAAATAATACATGTAGGAATGCAAGAAATAGGCAAAGCAATAAAAATGGGAATTGACATTTTATGATATGAAATGTGAAATATTAACTACCTGCTAAACTCACATTGTTTTTTTAACAAGTATAGAAAAATAATGCTCTGTATTTGAGATGGAGAGCACCCTTGTCTATGGTAGATTCAAGTGTACAATTTTGTTATACTCAATTGCATTGGTAACAATCAACTCAAGAGGGAGGTTGGTATCATGGTATGCTTATTTAATCTGAAAACAAAAAAGCAACCATAAGTATCAAATTTTTCTCATTCAAAAATGTTAGGATTTAGGATTATCCAAACTATGAGATTTCACAATAACTTCTCACCAACATAATAATTTGTAAATTGAAAAAATTCAAGTTAAAAAAACTAATTGTTCCACTAAATGCTGATGTTAAGGGGGAAATTATGATATATCTACAAAATAGGACACCATAGACATGAAAAAAATACGAGACACCCCCTTAAGTAATAATATGTCTTGATCGCCAAGATATATTGATTGAAGAAAATAAAAGGAAAAGCAATATGAATATTATGGGTTTAAAGGGGAGGCATCAGTTTATTTGTATATAAAGAAAATCTCTCTGGAGGGATAAGCAAGCTATCCCAGTATTTCAAATATTCAAGGAAGTTTATTAAGTGGCTTGATATTGGAGATGAAAGGGAAACATTTTAAACCATGTAAATGTATTTTCTATTAAAAAATGAAGCCACTGATGCTAAATATTTTAAACTGTAAATTCATCATGAGTATGCAAGACTAACCATTTAGATAAACTTGAAAAGAGTCATTCAGTGCACAAATATTACTGAAAAAATAAATTATGAAAGAGGACATCTGGACAAGATGGAGGCATAGGTAGATACACATTGCTTCTTCACACAACCAAGAGAAAGACAACAATTAATTTAAAAACAAAATCAAGCAGAACTGCCATAAATTGAACTGTATGAAAGTCTGACAACCAAGGAGTTGAAGAAGAAACATTCATCCAGACTGGTAGGAGGGGCAGAGCTGGGCAGCTTGGGTGGGGAGGACACGTGGCAAGTTGCCAGCTAGCAGACCCAGAGAAACAACTGGGAAACAACTGTGAGACAGACCATGCAACCCAGAGTTCCAGCATGGGAAACTAAAGCCTCAAAACCTCTGGCTGTAAAATTCTGTGAAGCTTTCAGCAATGGGAGAAACTCCAGTCTCACAGGCGGGTCCATTGGAGGGACAGATAGGGTCTTAGAACATACACAAGCCCACCCAACTGGAAATCAGCACCAAAGGGCCCAGATGGGTTGTGGGTAGCAGGGAAAGTGACTGAAAGTGGGGCAAGAGCCCAGCAAGTGACACTGTTCCCTCTCTGACCCCTAGCCCACAGACAGTGCCACTGCAAAGAGGGTTGCCACACCCTGATGAATGCCTAAGGCCCTGCCCCCTAACAACCTCACAGGTGCACCTAGACAAAGAAATATGGCCCAAATGAAAGAACAGATCAAAATTCCAGAAAAGGAACTAAGCGATGAAGGGATAGCCAACCTATCAGGTGCAGAGTTCAAAACACTGGTAATCAGGATGCTCCCAGAAATTATTGAGTATGGATGCAAAATAAAGAAAGAATTGAAGGCTATACAAAATGAAATAAAGAAAAATATGTAGGGAACCAACAGTGAAGGGAAGTAAGCCATGACTCAAGTCAATGATTTGGAACAGAAGGAAGAAATAATCATTCTACTGGAACAGAATGAAGAAATAAGAATTCAAAAAAATGAGAAGAGGCTAAGGCACCTCTGAGACAACTTTAAATGTTCCAACATCTGAATCATAGGGCTGCCAGAAGGAAAAGAGGAAAAGAAAGAAATTGAAAATGTATTTGAACAAATAACGAAGGAAAACATCCCCAATCTGGAGAAGGAAATAGACATGCAAGCCCAGGAAGCTCAAAGAGTCCCAAACAAGTTGGACCCAAGGAGGAACACAACAAGACACATCATAATTAAATTACCCAAGATTGTAGTTGAGGAGAGAATCTTAAAAGCAGCAAGAGGAAAAGAGACAGTTACCTACCAAGGAGTTCCCATAAGATTATCAGCTGATTTATCACAAGAAACCTTACTTACAAGAAGGGACTGGCAAGAAGTATTCAAAGTCATGAAAGTCAAGGGCCTATATCCAAGATTACTCTACCCAGCAAAGCTATCATTTAGAATGAAAGGGCAGATAAAATGCTTCCCAGATAAGGTCAAGTTAAAGGAATTCATCATCACCAAGCCCATAAAAAAAAGATTTTACTCATTTATTTTTAGAGAGAGGGGAAGGGAGGGAGAAAGAGAGGCAGAGAAACATCAGTGTGTGGCTGCCTCTCACATGCCCCCAACTGGGGACCTGGTCCACAACCCAGTCATGTGCCCTGCCTGACTGGGAATTGAACAGGTGACCCTTTGGTTCTCAGTCTGGTGCTCAATCCACTGAGCCATGTAATAAGGGCACCAAGCCCTTATTACATGAAATGTTAAAGGGACTTATCTAGGAAGAAGAAGATGATCAGAACTATGAACAGTAAAATGGCAACAAACTCACAACTATCAACAATTGAATCTAAAAAACAAAAACAAACTCAGCAAACATTAGTCACAGGAACAGAATCACAGAAATGGGGGTTATCAATAGGGAGGGGGAGGGGAGAGAATGGGGGGGGGAGTACAGAGAATAAGAAGCATAATTGGTAGGTGCAAAATAGACAGGGGAGGTTAAGAATAGTATAGGAAATGGAGAAGCCAAAGAACTTCTATGAATGATCCACTGACATGAACTAAGAGGGAGGGGGCATGCTCAAGGGAGGGGGCACAGGGTAGAGAGGGATAAAGGAGAGAGAAAATGGGACAACTGTAATAGCATAATCAATAAAATATACTTAAAAAGAAATTGCATTGGTGTAATAAAATCACTAAAGTAATTAATATTCTGCCCTGGCTGGTGTGACTAAATGGATTGAGTGACCACCTACAAACCAAAGGGTGGCCTGTTCCCTTCCCAGTCTAGGGCATATGCCTGGGTTACCGGCCAGGTCTCCTGTAGGGGGCACGCAAGAGGCAGCCACAGATTGATGTTTCTCTCCCTCTACTTTCTCCCTCCTTCCCCTCACTAAAAATAAATAAATGAAATCCTTAAAAATTAATATTCAACAGAACAAAAGGCAAACTGATTCAATGATGTCAAAGCATTTTGAGGTACCATAATATACAGCTCTGGGAATAAGTAATAACTCAAAATATGTTACAAGTATCTTCCTACATTTCCTAAGACCAAAAATTAAAATGTTTATAAACATTTAATTTCAGAAATACTTTGTATCATGGAAAAATGAATACATTAACTACAACCTTAAAAATTTTATAAAAAAGGGAAATGATACAGAAATAAACTCTATAGTGCAAAGCAATTACCTCCAAAAAACTAAAGTTAATTTTAAGCTTAAGCATAATTTTAAGTATATGAGTTAGTACCACAGAAAATTTACATTTAAAAGAATGGCAAATATAACCCCATACTTTCAAATTAAAAGATGGAGGGAAATATTAAAGATTTATGAAGAAAAATTGCAGTGGATGAAATATTTGAGACTCACGTTGTTTGCAGAGCCGGGACCTTGAGGGAGGCTGGGGCTGAAGGCCATGAGGTCCGTCTTGGGCGGGGGCGGGCCCTCCCCAGAGCACACCCTCTGCCGCCTCTGCTGCGAGTACGACCAGCTCCCCACCGCGCTGGAGCACACCAGCACCGGCTTCCCGGGTCCACACGCGCCCTCGGTGGGCGGCGCCGAGCACCGCAGCGCTGTGTACAGCAGCAGCGTGAGCACCAACAGGCTGGACACCGCGCAGATGGCGATGATCAGGTACACGTTCACGTCCACCAGCTGTGTCTCTGCACTCACAGCACTTGAAGACGCTTGCGAGGCCTTTGGCGCTTGACCACTGTCCACCAGAGACAGCAGCACGGTGGCCGTGGCCGCCAGCACGGGCTCTCCGTGGTCCTTCACCAGCACCAATAGGCGCTGCCGCGGATCGTCCATCTCGTCCAGGGTGCGCGTCGTGCTAATCTCGCCCGTGTACAGCCCCACGCGGAACGGACTGCGAGCGCCACCCGCCGCCGGCTGCAGCTCATAAGACAGCCACGCGTTGTAGCCAGAGTCCGCGTCCACCGCGCGCACCTTCGCCACCACATGGCCCGCGCCCACAGACCGAGACACCAGCTGGCTCACAGCACCGCCCCCGCCGCCCGCCCCAGGAGACAGCAGCGCGGGCGCGTTGTCGTTCTCGTCCAGCACGAACACCTGCAGCGTCACGTTGCTGCCCAGAGGAGGCACGCCCGCGTCGCGCGCGCTCACCTGGAACTGCAGCAGCTCCAGCTCCTCGTGGTCCAGAGGCTGCAGCGCGAACACCTTGCCGCTCTCCGCGTGCACAGACACGAAGCTCGACAGCGCACGCTCGCCCACCCGCCGCTCCACCAGCGAGTAGGACACCAGCGCGTTCTCCTGCGCGTCCAAGTCCCGCGCGGACACCGTGAAGATGTGGCAGCCGGGCGGGTTGTTCTCCTTCACGAACACGGTGTACTCGGGCTGCGCGAACGTGGGCGCGTTGTCGTTCACGTCTGCCACCTCCACGGACACGCTGGCGGTGGCCGACAGCGAGGGGGAGCCCCCGTCCCGCGCAGTCACTACTACAGCGTAGTCCGCCACGCTCTCGCGGTCCAGGGCGCTGTCCAGCACCAGTGAATAGTAGTTCTTGAAAGTGGACACCAGCTTGAAGGGAACGTGTGGCGACAGAATGCAGCTCACCTGCCCGTTGGCACCGGAGTCGCGGTCTGACAAACTAATCAGGGCGATGACAGTGCCCAGCGGAGCGTCCTCTCTCACGGGCAGAGACAGGGAGGTTATAACCATCTCTGGGGTGTTATCATTCTCATCCAGGAGTCTCACTATTACTTTGCAGTGTCCAGTTAATGGGAATGGACTTTTATCCACAGCATCAATATTAATTTCATATAAATTATGGTCTTCATAATCCAGTTCTCCCTTAACTGTTATTTCCCCACTATTAGAATTGATTATAAATTTAGATTTTACGTTGTCCAGAACAAGATTACTAAAGAGGTACACTATTTCCTTATTAATACCTTCATCTGCATCTGAGGCATTCAATTTAATAACTAATGTCCCATTAGGTGCATTTTCCACTAATCTAACATTATAAATTGATTTACCAAATACCGGGGCATTATCATTTGCATCCAGTACATTAATCAATAACTGAACAGTACCTGTTAGTTCAGGTTTTCCTCCATCAACTGCAATCAATAGTAAACGATGCTCTTGGGTTTCTTCTCTATCTACTGGCTTCTTCAATACTAGCTCTAAAATGTTTGTTTCTTCTTCACTTGTTTTCACATCCAAATGAAAATGTTCATTAGAATTTAACTTGTACCTCAGTTCTGCGTTTGCTCCGATATCCATATCAGATGCGCCCTCTAGCGGAAACCGGGAATCTGCTGTTCTTGATTCTAAAATAAATAATCTTTGTTCTTGTCGGAAGAACCTTGGCGGGTTGTCGTTAATGTCCTTCACCTCCACCTCCACGTGGAAAACCTGCAGCGGCCGCTCCACGATCACCTCCAGATGGATGCTGCACTCCGCGCTCCGCCCGCACAGCTCCTCGCGGTCGATCCGAGAATTCACAAACAAGATGCCATTCTGCAGGTTTACCTCCAGAAGGTCCCCGCGGACTTTGGACGCCACCCGGAACAGGCGCGGCACCAGCTCCGCCAGCTCCAGCCCCAGGTCCTGGGCGATGCGGCCCACGAAGGTGCCGTGTTTGGCCTCCTCGGGGACCGAGTAGTGGACCTGGCCGCTCCCCGGCTTCCAGGCTGCAAGGAGCAGAAGTGAGAGCAGCAGACGCCGGGATTCCTGGCCTCTTTCCGGGGAAAACTCCATCTCAAGCCTGCAGTACTTATTCTCATTAAGGGATCTTATTTTAAAATCAAAAGATATCTTCTGACCATTCACTCCAATGTCGCTGCATCCTCCATTTTTCAGCATCTGGATAGTGCATGCAGCTTCTTCACAGTAAGAAGGGATTTTTCTTCCTTTCTCCATCAGATCATTTTATGGCACAGAGCGACCTCATGTGGCTCCAAACGGTAAGTAATTGATTCTGGAAATTCATACCGTAAGCTGCTAAATCTTATTTATTCTCTCAGCCATCCTGCATACTTTCATGCCTTTGGAGAATAGAATCACATTTTGTGCTACTGAGGTACACATTTCAACCACTGACTGAGTGTGGTTCTTAGTTTCACCACAGGAGCAGCTTTTACTTCTGTGGGAATCCTTTTTTTCCCACAGGTGTTAAGTATTTGCAGAGACCCACCTGTAGGTACACACACTCTGTACACACACATCTGTGAAGTGATGTTTAGGAGAACTCCTGAGTTTCCGAGAATGCAGGGAGGTTGTTGTTAGTGAAGACACACCCTTCATCTTTGGATTTCACATCCCAGGTGTTGCCATCTTCAGAGGTGCCATCTATAAGGAACCTCTGGTTCCAATAAGCCATTGAAAGGGAATTTTGAAAATGTTCAAAAAGGGAAGAAAAGACCCGCATTTAATTGAAAGTCTTCCTTAAATCATGTAAGGGCTGAAGGTGCAAAGAAGCTTTAACAAAGAAGTAAGGCATTGTGGCATGTAATTTGTGTGAAAAAAGTATTCTAAAGAATATTATTCACTGGAATGCATTCACTCCCCGTGATCAAGACTGGTATTCTCGTTTTGTCTCATGGTTCACAAATATTTGCTCAATCTCCAGTGTCTAATATGCCTAAACTTGTATTTTCTCCCATATTGCTCATATATTTTCATCCAAGTGGTTACTTTCCTACTTCCAACAAAATTTTTCACTATACATATTCATTTTGCCCCCTGCCTGTATAATATCCATCATTTCCAAACTCTTAGCAAAGCAACTTCCCCACTTTTATAATTATTTTAAAATTTCTTGGTCAATGAAGACTTCTATGATTAAAACCAATTGGGCACACCTCTTTAATTTCTTTTATATACTATTGCATCCAGATTGGATCACTTGGACCACTTATTATATTAATTTCTTTTTTATGGCATTTTAGTATGTATGTCTAGTCATCTTTTTTGAAATACAAACTTTCTAAAGGAACCATTTTGTCTTAATAGTCTAATCGTTCAGAACACTTAAGCAGTATCTGCTGAATATGGACCTAATAGAATGGTTTCGTTCTCTTCAATTGATGGATGAAACCCATTAAATTAAGGTGGTCACATAGCTAGTCAGGAAAATACGATGTATCAGCAGCCTCTAGAATTTTTTAAAAATATAAAAATAGTATCCTTAGATATTTCCCTAATTACTATATGAATTGAAAACCTGGAATTCAGCTTAGTTTTCATTCCAATTCTTGGTAATCATGAACTTTAAGACATCTGGGTTTTAATAGTCAAGGAATAAGCCCCAATTAATACAGCACAATGTAATTTCCTGACATAAAGAAACTTAATATAGGACATGTTGGCAGTCATTTTTAGACTTTCTTTGCCTCTTAGGTTCATAAGCCTCTTTCCCCATGGTTGTCTAGGACAAAAAAAAAATCAGTGTAGTGAAACTGACTTTAGTCTCCCATTCTATGAAGAGCTGCATTCATAATTTCCTTCTGAATTAAAACATAAATCAGAGCAATTTCAACTTTTGAAAACCCAAACTGCAGATTTGTACAAAGGGATCATAGGTGTCAAACATGCTGGAAGAAAGTGAAAAGGACACCCTGTCTATATATTTTGCAAAATAATCAAATACATAGACGGGAATGCAACAGACTATAAAGGATATTTAATCAGAAACTAGTGAGTATTCATCTGGTATAGCAACAATACATCTCTAAGGAGAAAAAATGCAGGTCTTTAAAATGTCTTATTAGCTGAGAACTTCCTAGTCAACAATTTGAAGAACAGGGATGCATTTGAAGACTGAAGTCCCATATCCTGGGAGACCAAAACTTTGCATGACCCTATTACTTATAATATGATGAAAATGAGGCCTAATAAAATAGCGAACTGAAGTTGGAAATGCTGTGGCTAATACTGGCTACAGAGAGAGCAGGAAAGGATAGTGTCAGAAAAATGAAATGAAAAGGAGAAAGGGAAGAATTATCTCACTGTCCTATATGTTAGCCTCCCCCCACAGTGTCACTGAGTGTCAACCAGGTTTCAGCACAGAAGCTTGAACAGGGAAGTAGAAAGTTATAGCATGTAACTTGCATGGAAAGTATTTCATGTAATGGTACACACTAGAATCCATTCACCTTCCACAAGCAAGGTTGGTTTTCTCATTTTGCTCTTATGATTCAGAAGTACTAGACTGTTCTTCAGTCTCTGACATGCCCGAGCTTAGGTTTCCAGTGGCAACTAAACTTGAATGGGAAGCCAACTATTTGCTTGGGGGAAATGATCAAATATCAAATAAGAGAATGACTGAAAAATGATCTCACTTCAGTTTTATTGAATTTGGTGCAAATGACTTGGAATTTTAAACGTCCTACATGACACACTTTAATGGTCAGGTTGGTATTCGGCAGGGGGATGGCCAGTGACGACATTGATTCACTGAACTGTTCGGACATTAGCATCCTTAGTGCCACAGGCAGAAGATGTTCGGGATTAATAACTTCTCTAGTAGAATAGCTTTTAAATTACATAGAAGTATCACTTTCAACAAATGGCTCAATGGAAATAATAATTCTTAACAAGATTAATAATATTCTTTCAAAAAGAATATTTTCTATATAATGATGTAAAGGGAATGTTACACTTTCACTTCTTATTGACTTTAATGCTTACTATTAAAAGTACTGAGAAAATGAAGATGAACAAAGATACAATTCCCAAAGCAATAAAGTTATTCTGTTTATTTTTTTTACCCAGTTGGGAAACTAGCAACAATACACACATTACCAAACGTGAGCACAAGGGCTGAAATAAATCACATTCAAGCAGAGAGGAAGAACTGAGACTCCAGATAAAGGAGTGAGTGAGACAGTAGGTGCTACATAAAAGATGACAGGTTTAATAAACTAATTTTGAAAGTGAAGTAATAGAGCAAAATAAAAAGGGAGTGGAAGCATGCAGGGCTGGCTCATAAAATGGGCCAGTGATATCGGGATGAAAAACTAGCCGAAACTCCATGCCCTGGCTGGTGTGGCTCAGTGGGATGAGTGTGGGCCAGGCCCACGGTTGGGGGACACATGAGAGGCAACCGATGGTTTCTCTCACGTTGATGTTTCTCTCCCTCTCTCCCCCTCCCTTCCTCCCTTTCTGAAAATAAACAAATAAAATCTAGCAGGAACTCCAAATGAAAAGTGGCAAAAGCTCCTGAAGCATTGTGCAGCGCTGATACACCACATTTGGAGTCGAATATTCTAAACAATGCAATTCATGCAGGAAAATATATGTAATTTCTATCCAGACCTTTAGTGATAAAAAGTAATCCTACTACTGCACATACTTACAAAATAAAACAAACCACAAGTATGGTTTTGACTACTTATTGCCGACTTGGTTCAAAAACATTAGTAAAAAGATTTTCAAACATTTCAACCACAAAATCAGGAACTGGAAAACTCTAACTACCAAAAACATAAAGTATTTAATTGTAATATGTTTACAAAGGAATAGCTACATCGAGGAATAAAAGATAAAGCCATTACTGAAATAATATTAAAAATTACTCACTTTGGCAGAAACATCAGCATCCACATCCAGTTGTTCTTCTCTCTCCCCGCTAAACGAACCAGCTGGAAGGCTGGGGCTGAAGGCCATGAGGTCTGTCTTGGGCGGGGGCGGGCCCTCCCCAGAGCACACCCTCTGCCGCCTCTGCTGCGAGTACGACCAGCTCCCCACCGCGCTGGAGCACACTAGCACTGGCTTCCCGGGCGCGCACGCGCCCTCAGTCCACGGCACCGCACACTTCAGAGCCGTGTACAGCAGTAGTGTGAGCACCAACAGACTGGACACCGCGCAGATGGCGATGATCAAGTATACATTGACTTCCACTAGCTCAGTTCCTGTGCTCACTGCTCCCGCAGACGGCTGGAATGAGGTTTTTGGCGCCTGGCTGCTTTCCACTAGCGACAGCAGCACGGTGGCCGTGGCCGCCAGCGCGGGCTCCCCGTGGTCCTTCACCAGCACCAATAGGCGCTGGCGTGGCGCATCGACCTCGTCCAAGGTGCGCGTCGTGCTAATCTCGCCCGTGTACAGCCCCACCCGGAACAGGCTGCGTGCACCACCCGCCGCCGGCTGCAGCTCATAAGACAGCCACGCGTTGTAGCCAGAGTCCGCGTCCACCGCGCGCACCTTCGCCACCACATGGCCCGCGACCACAGACCGCGACACCAGCTGGCTCACAGCGCCGCCGCCCGCTCTGCCCGCCCCAGGCGGCAGCAGTGCGGGCGCGTTGTCGTTCTCGTCCAGCACGAACACCTGCAGCGTCACGTTGCTGCCCAGAGGAGGCACGCCCGCGTCGCGCGCGCTCACCTGGAACTGCAGCAGCTCCAGCTCCTCGTGGTCCAGAGGCTGCAGCGCGAACACCTTGCCGCTCTCCGCGTGCACAGACACGTAGCTCGACAGCGCGCGCTCGCCCACCCGCCGCTCCACCAGCGAGTAGGACACCAGCGCGTTCTCCTGCGCGTCCAAGTCCCGCGCGGACACCGTGAAGATGTGGCAGCCGGGCGGGTTGTTCTCCTTCACGAACACCGTGTACTCGGGCTGCGCGAACGTGGGCGCGTTGTCGTTCACGTCTGCCACCTCCACGGACACGCTGGCGGTGGCGGACAGCGAGGGCGAGCCCCCGTCCCTCGCGGTCACTACTACAGCGTAGTCCGCCACGCTCTCGCGGTCCAGGGCGCTGTCCAGCACCAGTGAATAGTAGTGCTTGAAGGTGGACACCAGCTTGAAAGGAACGTGTGGCGACAGAGTGCAGCTCACCTGCCCGTTGGGACCGGAGTCGCGGTCAGACACGCTAATCAGGGCGATGATTGTGCCGAGCGGAGCATCTTCTAATACAGGCAAGGATAGTGATTTGATAACCAACTCAGGTACATTATCATTGGTGTCTAGAATTTCCACTAGGACAGTGCAGTGATCTGCCATTGGGGGCATTCCTTTATCTGTTGCTTCCACCTGGATTTCGTATAACTTGGTTTCCTCAAAATCTAAGTTACCCTTTACACTGATGTATCCATTAACCGGGTCTAAGTGGAATTTCGACAGAATATCCGCAGACGTGTCTGTACTGAAAGAATATACAATGTCCTTATTTACTCCTTCATCTAAATCAGAGGCGTTAACAATCACTGCTAGAGTACCATTTGATGCATTTTCGAATAATCTGACTTTGTAGACCGACTTCTCAAACTCGGGGGCGTTGTCATTCACATCTAGAATGGTGATGGTCAATTGAGTAGTGCCCGTGAGCTCGGGCTTCCCACCGTCAACTGCCATTATTAGTAAGCGATGCTCAGGAGTGTCCTCCCGATTTAACAGTTTTTTCAACACGAGCCCAAGGGATTTAATTTCCTCATCATTCCTTTTAACATCCAAGGTAAAATATTCATTGGAGTTAAGAATGTAGGTCAGCTGCGAATTCACTCCTACATCTGCATCTGATGCGCCCTCTAGCGGAATCCGAGAGCCAGGCGGCCGGGATTCGTAAATAAACAATTTTTTTACAGCCATTGGGAAAACCGGCGGGTTGTCATTAATGTCTTTGACCTCCACCTCCACGTGGAAAACCTGCAGCGGCCGCTCCACCACCACCTCCAGGTGGATGCTGCACTCCGCGCTCCGCCCGCACAGCTCCTCCCGGTCGATCCGAGAATTCACAAACAAGATGCCATTCTGCAGGTTTACCTCCAGAAGGTCCCCGCGGCCTTTGGACGCCACCCGGAACAGGCGCGGCACCAGCTCCACCAGCTCCAGCCCCAGGTCCTGCGCGATGCGGCCCACGAAGGTGCCGTGTTTGGCCTCCTCGGGGACCGAGTAGTGGACCTGGCCGCTCCCGGTCTCCCAGAGTGCGAGGAGCAGAAGCGAAAGCAGTTGTCGCCGGGCTCCTAGAACTTCTCCCCAGGAAAACACCATTGCAACCCTTTCCCAAATGCTTAGTCTCTCTTGCATCGATCCAAAATTAAAAAAATAATTTGAGCTCCTTGTTCTCCATTTTTTAAATAACCTTACCATGCCCGAATTTCAGAAAAGGTGAGGAAAAGCGGCTTCTGTGTACGTAAAGCACCCTGCATTATCTTTTGTGGTGAAAGACCTTGTGGTAGACAGCGACATCATGTGGCGAAAGTGTATTGTAAGTACCAATGTCTTCATTTCCATATACTTCGTTTGGATTTCCCAAATTACTCTTTTCATTGTAATTTCCTTCAAGCACTCCTCAAAGTCTTTATATTATATCAAAATATATTCTTACAACTTTTTATGCTAATTCACTATTTTCTGTCCTACCAGTTCATGACATAGTGTAAAATATAATGAAATAGTGACCACTGCTGTAACAGCAGCAGACAGCTATTGGGAATAGTGCCCGTTTGACCAGCACAGTTCTACTTGCTTCAATGGAGTCATCACATTACATTTTCACAGAAATCCTCTAAGGTGGATGTTAATGTGTCTCACTTTTTACAAACAAGGAAGTGGGAGCATATATGCAGGTTAAGTAACTTAAAAAAAACTGGTGGTTTTTGGGTAGGATCTAAATCCTATTGAAGAGCCATAATTTTAACCACTTGGTCTCTAAGCTGACACTTTATAGAAAAATCAGGCCTTTAGTATTTGTGACCATCAAAACACTGAGACATCGAAAACGTGTGTATACATACCCATATACGATGCACACATATTTCCTTCTATATTATTTTGGCAATTGTTAATTTACCAAATATGTTCACTTTATTTTTATTTGTAGGATGTCTCTAAGTCACTCTCATGTCCTTTATCCAGTAACTACATCCTTGTTAGCTGTTTCAGCTGTTATTTACACAAAGACATAAAGATGCAAGAAGTCGGTCCTTCACAGTGAAGTTCTTTTGGAAAGTTGTTTTGCTGCATGACAACACCGTGTGATTTGGATACTTGTTACATTCAGGTTACACCAAGTAAGAGTATCTTAGTTTTTAACAATTCCACATCATTTATATGTTTGGATTTACCTGTATATCCTAAAATGTTCATAACATGAGAGAATTGTGTATTTAATCATCTCCACTCTGGATAATAAATGTCTGGATTCTAGTTTCTCAAAACTTTCATACTTGAAAGTATTGGTAATTTGACCAATCAGTAAAAAGAGAAAAGTCATTTTAGCACATGATTCACTACTCAGCATATGTAAGTTAAGGCAATGAAATAGTCTAAAGATCTCTGTGGATTTGGTGAGAGGCATGAGTTCTCTGAGATTCGGAAGTTGAGTAGAGAGAATCCGTAGGAAGAGGTTGAATTTAGAGAGGTAAGGCAATGTCCAAAGTTTTGCTTATAGTCAGACCCTTTTTAAATGAAATCAAACATGTGATTTAAGTATTAGGAGAAAAATTTTCATACCAGTGTTTTCCTGTGTACTCACCGAATGCAAGCCAGGATTTCAATTTACTCATATTTTATCATTTATATTTAGAATACAATGAATTATCAATATTTTAATGAATAAATAATTAAATATTTGTATTGATTTCTTCAAGTAATATGAGTAAACAGGTAAATTACATTAATAATATTTATTAATATTAAATTTACTTAATTTCTAACTGATTCTATTGCACTAGTTCATGAAAAAGTAAACATTTAAGACTTTGGAAAAAAGAACTATTTCAGCAATGCATATATCTAGAAAATAATTACAGAGACCAATATGCTAGTCCCTTGATAAATCTTGAAAAGTAGTGAGTTTTAAAATGAAAGGCAAACTTAAAATTTTAAAACATCTTGGGCTTCACAGTAATTGTAATACTATTAATTGACTATTGTAATACCATACATTTCAAGACACTTAAGAATGTAATAAAGGAACTTAAGGAAAATGTAAATAAGTAATAACAATCCTTAAGAACTTGTATAGCAATAAAATTTGACTCCTGCTGGGCACACTTGGAGATAGTTTTTAAAGCCTACCACTTACCTACAGTAGAAATGTAGTGGCCCGCCCTCCAGTAGGAAAGGTTCCATCCAACTGTTCACACATTCCACACACAAGTCTTAAGGTGCTGAGCAGCCACAGTGCTCTAGGTGGGACAACTCCTTCCAAGGAAAAAGCTTCTTCCTCATTTTTCAAGCTATTTGTTTTTCTCTGCACATATATAAAACCTCAGATGAACTTTTCTGATTCCTGAGAAATATATACTCTGAATTTTGAGGCTTATCAGTGCTGAGGAGCTAATAAGTTCCCTGTAGGAGCAGACTATTTTTTAAATATTTTATTTATTTATTTTTAGAGATAGGAAGTGAGGGAGAGCGAGAGGGAGAGAACATCAATCTGTGGTTGCCTCTCGTGTGCCCCCTACTGGGGACCTGACCTGCAACCCAGGCATGTGCCCTGACTAGGAATCAAACAGTAAACCTTTTGGTTCAAAGGCCAGTGCTCAATCCACTGAGCCACACCAGCCAGGGCAGAACAGACTATTCTTGAATGGAATTCAAAATCTCCCCACTGAACTCCTCAATTCCCATGAAAGCAGATCCCAGATGGCCTATCTGTGAAGTGGCTATAGCTAAGATCACGTATGGGAAATAATTTCTATGATTCATCAATATCCACACATATCTGGGGGAAAAAAAACAGTAAATAACTAAGAACCAAATAGTAGAAGACAGTTATTTCATCCCAAGACATCTTTCTTTGGTTTAAAAAAATTAATATCACTTTCAAGTGTAAAATTTACTTGCCAAGTTTAGTGTGTTGATTACCCAAGACAGGGGTTTCCACTGAAAATATAGCAAACCAATACCAGTCCTTACCTTAAAAAAAAAAGAAGCACAACTTCACTAGGAATTTAGGTGCCACCAGGTGAAACTGAGTGAGCTCCCAGTCATAGAAAACTTTGCCCTAGTCATGGAGTGTGGTGCCAGGGGAAGGCGATCAATCTCTTCTCAGCGGGAAGCCAGCATACGCTGCTAGCCCAGGGGTACTGACATTGGAAGAATGACTGAGCAAGCAGCAAACATAAGGACTGGATTAGAGTAATTTCCATTTGTGTGAAGAAAAAGTCCCAACACCTGACCACCCCACTATGTGATATTTTGGGTTAATGTTATGTAATTAAATAACAGAGATGGGGGCTCTTTTCTCAATGATCTCTCTGTTGTGCCTTAAAACATCCAGGACTTTGCATGTGTGAAATCTCTATCCCAAACAGCAATTTATTTTTACTACTAAAAGGCGTACCAAAGTAATGACCTGTGAAAGATAATATTGGAGGAGCTGGCATTAAAATACCCATTAAGCCTGCTTTCAAACACAAGGAAAAGAAAAACTAACTTATTAACTGTTACACAAAGATGAATCAATTCTTGACTGAATTAATTATTTGGGACATGTTCAGGTGTATAATACAGTCTTATTCAAACATATTCTGACTGAAAGAATGGATGGTGTGGGCATATTTGGGAAATATGTATTATATAATCATATTGTATAAATTTTTCCAATTGTAGTTTTTTAATTTGAGAAAAAGTATTCACAGGTACTGTTAAGTTTTCAAATTTTGCTGAAGTGTTATGTCAATCCTTAAAGCTTCTTTTATTCATGGATAGATTTAATGATGGAAAAGCCAAATGTAAAAATAACAAAACCATTTAAGTAAATTGTATTCAATGCAAAAAAAATCATCTCTAGTCCATTCTACGGGTTGCACAGTAGGATAACGGTATAAATGAAAGGTGGGGCTTTGCGTCAAAATAATTAATAGACTCATAAAGAATTAAGGAAACTACTGTTTTAGAATTGACAGGAAAAAGTTAAGACTCACCTTTCCTAAGTGTTCTGATTCTGAAGGTTGTTGCCTTTCTTCTGCGGAGCTTGGACCTTGAGGTAGGCTGGGGCTGAAGGCCATGAGGTCGGTCTTGGGCGGGCCCTCCCCAGAGCACACCCTCTGCCGCCTCTGCTGCGAGTACGACCAGCTCCCCACCGCGCTGGAGCACACCAGCACCGGCTTCCCCGGCGCGCACCCGCCCTCGGTGGGCGGCGCCGAGCACCGCAGCGCGGTGTACAGCAGCAGCGTGAGCACCAACAGGCTGGACACCGCGCAGATGGCGATAATCAGGTACACGTTCACATCCACTAGTGACGTCTCCACGACCCCAGCGCCAGAAGATGACCGCGACAAGGTCTTCGGCACCTGGCCATTGTCCACCAGAGACAGCAGCACTGTGGCCGTGGCCGACAGCGCTGGCTCCCCGTGGTCCTTCACCAGCACCAATAGGCGCTGGCGTGGAGCGTCCTCCTCATCCAAGGCACGCGTCATGCTGATCTCGCCCGTGTACAGCCCCACCCGGAACAGGCTGCGTGCACCACCCGCCGCCGGCTGCAGCTCATAAGACAGCCACGCGTTGTAGCCAGAGTCCGCGTCCACCGCGCGCACCTTCGCCACCACATGGCCCGCGACCACAGACCGCGACACCAGCTGGCTCACAGCGCCGCCGCCCGCTCTGCCCGCCCCAGGCGGCAGCAGCGCGGGCGCGTTGTCGTTCTCGTCCAGCACGAACACCTGCAGCGTCACGTTGCTGCCCAGAGGAGGCACGCCCGCGTCGCGCGCGCTCACCTGGAACTGCAGCAGCTCCAGCTCCTCGTGGTCCAGAGGCTGCAGCGCGAACACCTTGCCGCTCTCCGCGTGCACAGACACGTAGCTCGACAGCGCGCGCTCGCCCACCCGCCGCTCCACCAGCGAGTAGGACACCAGCGCGTTCTCCTGCGCGTCCAAGTCCCGCGCGGACACCGTGAAGATGTGGCAGCCGGGCGGGTTGTTCTCCTTCACGAACACCGTGTACTCGGGCTGCGCGAACGTGGGCGCGTTGTCGTTCACGTCTGCCACCTCCACGGACACGCTGGCGGTGGCCGACAGCGAGGGCGAGCCCCCGTCCCTCGCGGTCACTACTACAGCGTAGTCCGCCACGCTCTCGCGGTCCAGGGCGCTGTCCAGCACCAGTGAATAGTAGTTCTTGAAAGTGGACACCAGCTTGAAGGGGACGTGGGGTGACAGTGAGCAGGTCACCTGCCCGTTGGCACCGGAGTCGCGGTCCGACACCATGATGAGGGCTATTACGGTGCCCAGCGCAGCGTCCTCTCGGATCGGAAGTGAAAGAGATGTTATTGAGACTTCTGGTGTGTTATCATTGATGTCCACAATTTTTACTGAAATTTTGCAGTGCCCAGTCATTGACGGAGTTCCATTGTCATATGCCAGGACTTGAATCTCGTAGGATTTTGTTTCTTCATAATCTAATTGTCCCTTAGTTCTAATTTCCCCTGTGCTGGAGTCTATTCTGAACTTGGTCTTTATAGTGGAGGGCGCATCACTGCTAAATGAATACACAATCTCGCTGTTTGACCCTTCATCGGCATCAGAAGAATTTAGTTTAATCACTAACGTTCCATTTGCGATGTTCTCTAACAATTGTACTTTGTAAACTGATTGGTCAAAAGTCGGTTCATTGTCATTCACGTCCAATACCTTAATAAGCAATTGAACCGTGCCTGTAAGCTCAGGTTTGCCGCCATCAGTAGCCACTAATAATAAATTAACCGCGGCAGTTTCCTCTCTGTCCAGAGATTTCCTAAGAACAAGAGACAAAGACTGACTTAGCTCATCACTTGTCTGTACATCTAGAAAGAAAAACTCACTGGAGCTGAGCTTGTAGGAAAGAAGAGCGTTTACTCCGATATCTGCGTCAGTTGCTCCCTCTAGAGGAAACCGCGAGTCGAGCAGCCTGGATTCTGGGAAGCGGATGGTCTTTACCGCCATTGGAAATACCGGCGGGTTGTCGTTAATGTCCTTCACCTCCACCTCCACGTGGAAAACCTGCAGCGGCCGCTCCACCACCACCTCCAGGTGGATGCTACACTCCGCGCTCCGCCCGCACAGCTCCTCCCGGTCGATCCGAGAATTCACAAACAAGATGCCATTCTGCAGGTTTACCTCCAGAAGGTCCCCGCGGCCTTTGGACGCCACCCGGAACAGGCGCGGCACCAGCTCCGTCAGCTCCAGCCCCAGGTCCTGCGCGATGCGGCCCACGAAGGTGCCGTGTTTGGCCTCCTCGGGGACCGAGTAGTGGACCTGGCCGCTCCCGGTCTCCCAGGCAGCTAGGAACAGAAGCGAGAGCAGCAGACGCCCGACCTCTCGGTCCCTTCTCATAGAAGACACCATTACCAATCCTCAGTGAGTTGCTCAAATTAAAAAATCATGTTTTGCAAAATTTGAAAGGTTCTCTTCTAGTGCTGCTTCTCTTATTGTTCGGCTTCTCTGGAGTGACAATGGGGCTCTGGGTATTTTTCTTCCTAGACAACACTCTGTGGTGGACAGCGACATCATGTGGCCAAAATGTAGGCTCCGCTACTCATCCTGTAGATTTAAAACTAGACTGTTGTCTGATCTAAGTTTATTCATAATTTTGTCTTTGAAAAATAGCTATTTTAAAACGCTGGAATATATCATCTCCCTCTTTTCGTGTTGAAAACACATTAAATTTACCATATCAACCTTTTTAAATATACAGTTTAGTATACTCACATTGCTGTGAGACAGATCTCCAGAACTTTTCCCCTGCAAATCTGAAACTCTGTACTTATTAGACAACTCCAGCTTTTCCACCACACGCCCACCCATCGCTCTGGTTGTTGCTCCTGAGTTCAGCCCCTTTAGATGCCTCATATTAGTGGAATCATACAGTACTTGCCTGTGACTGGCTTAGTTCACTTAGCATAATGTCCTCAAGTTTCCCCGGTGTTGTAGCGTGTGACTGGATTTCCTTTAAGGCTAAATAATATTCTAATGTGTGTGTATATGCCACATTTTGCTTGTCTATTTATCCATCTACCCATGGACATTTCCATGGAAATGGAAATGCTGCTCAAGAGGTTTCCACCTCTTGACTATTGTGAGTAGCGCTGCTATGAACAGAGGTGTGAAACTCCACCTCTGAGACCCTGCTTTCTTTCGGCCACATTATCTCTTTCTATGTTTCAACTGTTCCTTCGAGTGAAGCACATAGAAATCAAGGGCACTTCAGTCAATTGAAAATACATTTGTATATTTTATTATTGTTTTTTTTGTGATTTAACTTTGTCTTCTAAACTGCAGATGTTTGAAAAGCTAGCAATTGGTTTCTTACTTGGATAATGTGATTTTAATTTAAGAATATTCCATTTTATACTACATTTGGATATTTGAATAATACAATTGATGCCTTTTAGTGTTAATTATTTGTGAATATCTTCTTTTATTAATTCTCAGCTGGCCCCTTAACATAAAAACAATATGAAAATAAGATAAAGATAACATAGGGATGAGATAAATAAATTTAGGGGTGGGTCAGTGTTCAAAATACACAGTAATCATTTTTAGTTAGTCTTAGGAAGTCATAAATTTTGTTTTTGGCAAAGAAGAAAACAAAATTAATTGCAAAATGTACAGTGTCCATAAAAGAAAATAAAAATCCTTGCTAAAGAAAAACTAGCTTTTCCTGGTGCTAAAAACCAATAGTAATTTCTCCCTTGAGTCTAATATCTTAAGGTATTTATCCACACCATATACAGAAGTATGTATTTATATTAAGATATTCTAACAATGAACTCCAAGTGAACTAACTTAATGAAGCAGAGTGTCATTTACTGTCTTATACTTGGAAATGGATAATTACTAGTTTCAGGAAGGACTGTGTATACATGCTTCAGTATCTCCCACTTAAGTTTATTTTCCTCTGCTGACCTTCTTCCTCAGGTAGGCTTTTCCCATGGGATGGCAAATGGCCAAAGTAGATTTTAGGCTGTGTATTTTTAGGTGACATTTATGACTCTCCACGGAAAGTGTCCTTTTCCTAATAGCCCAGGGGGAAAATCCCAAAATATCACTTCACTTGACCCAGTTTAGATGACATAGCTTTCCTGTGGTCAATACATGTAATTGTTCTCACTTGGCCAGAGATGGGTTGCTTACTCACTGCTGCAGCCAGGAGGTGAAGTAAGCCCTGCCTAAGTTGTGTGGACGGAACATGAGGAGGTTGTATTTGTGAAGTGAAGGCCATTGCAAGGCCTCATGTAGCCAAATCCTCCTGTATCTTAAACTGATGGCGCAGAGCTGCAGACTGGCCATTCCATACCCGTGTAGGTGCAGTGTGACCGCGTGTCTGAAATGCCCAGTAGTGCTGATATACTAAATCGGTGGCCTGCATACTGGCTACTCTTGACATATTCAGAAACTATACCTGGAATCTGGGTGTCAGCTCCAGGGAACTTGGCTTACTTGAGGCAATTTTTGTGATCCTATGAGGTGATTTTGCTGGATTTTCAGAATGACATGGCTGCGGCTATAGAGTATATTCTGCTGTTATTTGGAGTTTCTGAGGATCTAGCATATCTCTCTCCCTCCCTCAGAAAGAGAGAGTGCTATTGCCAGAAATCCAAGCATATTTCCCCCAACGGGGAAAGAAGACTGAGAAGCCATGCTCCGCAAATGCCACCAGCTTGACATCTCTTGGCACCTGTAGTGAGTTGGAGGAATAGCAGCCCCCAAAAGACATACCCACCCAGAACCTTGGCATGTGACCTTATCTGGAATAAAGGGAGTACAGACATAATTAAGGTAACTCTAACCCTAACACCATTCTAGATAAAGGTTGGCCATAAATCCTATAACAGGTGTCCTTATAAGAGGGGAAAAGAGAGAAGATACAGAGAGACACAGGAAAGAAATGTGACGGCCGAGGCAGAAACTAGAGTTATGTTGCCACAAGCCAAGGCATGCCAGGAACCACCAGAAACTGGAAGAGGCAAGGAAGAATTCTCCCCAGAGTCTCCAGAGGGAACACAGCCCTGACAACGAGCACCTTGACATTGGCCTTCTGGCCTGTGGAACTGAAAAAATAATAAATTTCTATTATTTTAAACCACCAAGTTTGTGGCAACTTGTTGTAGCAGCCCTCTGAAACTAATATGGTTTCCATTGCCAAAATTATATCCCTTGCACATATCAAAGCCACCTGTCAGTTCCCTAAGGTTTATGTGTCAGAGCATTTATTCTCGCAACAGCTGCACCCCAGTATTTCATAAAACTACAACAAAGCCCTAGAATGAAAACAAAAGAAAACAAGGGAAGGTATGCTAGATAAGACATAAAAAGAAGAGGTGCCTAAGATATTTTAAATTGTTTATTGTTTTTCTTTTTCTATAGAGTAAGAAAAAGAAATCACAGCACAATTATTTTTCCATGGAATCCAAGTTACGTAATCTGTTTAATGGTCAGATATCTTAGCAAAGAGGTGAATAATAATCTATCAGCTGTAATGCTCTCCTCCCAAAATTTATTCTGTTCACATTAGCTTAATGACAGTGGAACCACAGTGAACATGTTGCTATACGCTATCTCAATTTTCCCTCTAAAACAAACACAGTTTTTATTTCTGGCTCCTACAAAGTCTTCTTGGTTATGGAGACTGCCTGGGACAGCTTTCCTCCACGCGCTGGCTCAGCATCCCAAGCTGCCTTCCGATTATGGCATCTCAACATCAACCTGTGCTTTCATAACTGCCGCAGCAGCATAAGACAGCAGAAGAGGCTTGCACTGGCAATTACACACTTCTGCTTGGAAGTGAGACACATTCACATTTCATTGGTGAAAGAAAGCCACACCTCAAAGTAACAGGGAAGTGAAATCCTCCAGTGTTCCCAGAAAGAAGAGAACAAAAATACTGGTATCAAAATAAACAACTACTTCTCATTCTTATTTGTCTTCTTGACTGACCACAAGTCTCAAAAGTGCCTGAAGTGGTACCTTACTTTCTAATTACTTAGTGTTATACCAGAAAATAGAACTAGAATCCTAATCCTGGGAGGGAAGGTTTTTTTTTTTAAAGAAGAAACATACCAAGAATTAGTGTTCTCAAGTGTTCTGTCTTGTATTTTAGGTGATGTAAAAGTAAGATTTCTCTACTATTGGAATTACGTTCATATCATCATACCAAGGTAACTTGAAAATAAAGTTATAATTCTTAAAATCATAGTCATGAAACAAAAGCTAATTACTGAAATTGAATAATTGAAAGATAATGTATGTGGTTAACAAGATTTTACAAAAGCAAGCTTTTGTTTTCCTTGGTGTCTTTGAAAGTTGGAACCTCCACAGAAGTGTGAGAGTAACACCGTTACTCTCGGTATGTTCAGCACAGTGATCATGGCCTAGTGTTTTCAGATAGACAACAAAAATATGAAGCTACTAACTTTAATGGATAATTAATATTAAGTAAAATTAAACCAGTGGTATAACAATGATTATAATCTGGTAAAAGATCTCATCATATAAAACTTCCTCTTCTGAGGATATGACCATTTTTAAGTCAATAAATTTCCTAAATGAGTGACTAATTTGAATTGTAAACATACCATGAAGTAAGATCTAAAGAGTAAGTTTGGCCATGAGTCTATATTATTCTATGCCTTTATTAATACTAAAATACACAATGAATAACACATTACTCATAGGAAAGAGCAGTTGAAAAGTTAGAAAATAAAGCAACTGGTTCATCTTAATAAAGAGGAGAGGAATTGACATACCTTTCCTGAAATAAATCTTATAAAGAAAGACAAAACTATTGAAAATTGTGTTACCCTGGCCAGGTGGCTCAGCTGAATGGACAGTCATCTCACACACCAACAGTTTGTGGGTTCGGTTTCTGGTCAGGGCACGTGCCTAAGTTACAGTTTCATTCCCTGATCAGGCACCTACCTAAGCGGGGTGCCTACAGTATGTAATGGATCATTGTTTCTCCTTCACATAGCTGTTTCTCTCTTTTCCTTCCCCTCTCTAAAACCAACAAAAAAACCTATCCTCAGGTGAGAATTTTTTACAAAAAGAATTTAAACAAGACAAATTTGTGTTAACTACCCAAAGATTCTGAATGAGACAACAATATTAACTGCCAATGGGAAATCTACTCATATTTCTTTATATTAAAATAAATACTAAGTAACAATATCACTCCACGATAATCTTTTTCTCCATTCCAGAATTACCTTTTCATTTAAAAAAAATCTCCTTTTCAAAGCCACATCTTTTGTTTCAATGATCACTCACTAACATTCACCTTCAAGTCTACACCTTCAACCAGCCCAACAGCAAGCCCGACACAGACAGAATTGTTCAGCTGTTCTTAG